AGGGTTTCCGAGGGTGTAAATCCTTACGGGAGTAGAAAGCCTCATCTTTCTCCTGCGGAGCGGCTGGTAGTTTCGAACCGCTGACCTTTAGGTTCGCAGCCCGATTCGTAACCACTACGCTACCAGAGCTCCTTTTAATTAGCATTATCAGTTGCTAATAGATACTTGAAATCTGTGAAGTAACATTCCCCTGTTGCTGAGGCTGTCTCTAGCTGTAACATGATCCGTACTCACAACTCCCACACACATATGAGGAGGCTTCTGAAAGTTCTTAGAAAAATGGAATTATAAGATAATGGAATTTTTCCATGAAATTTTAGAAACCTTTCTCATATACACACACACTGCAACAAATTGATTCGCTAAGAATTGTATCATATATAAAATAGAAAATGTGTTCCTACATGAAGAACATAGATATTAATCACAAGAATTACATGACTAAACCTACAGAGTTGCATGGCATGTGTTGTCAGACATTCCTTAACATTGAATGCATTCTTTGAAAATAAGTTGTTGCCACTGCTGATGGTGTTAAGTGCCTTCGAGTGACTTCAGACTCATAGCATCCCTGAATAGGAACTGCTGGTAAGTTTGAAGCACCGACTTTACCGTTAGCAATACAGTGCTTATCCTCTAATACCATGTCAGGACTCCTTGAAAAAAGTAGGGCCATAAAATTATTTCAGTGTCTTTCCACATTTAAATAGATGAATGTATTCTATATGTCAGGCAAATGTCTACATTTAATGAAATTTGAAAATGAACTTTCAGTAAATTGAAGATCTTTAAATAATGCACATATTAAGAAGCCCTCATTTTAAGAAGAATTTCCACATGGCTTTTGACACCCAAGAACAGCAAAATAATTGTACCATCGCAATATAACAATTAATGACCTTGGATGACTAGCTATCGGGGGAGCAGAGGAATTAAGATGTTTTAAGAGACTCATGATATCATGTCATGACTCAACTAGATTGAAAGCAGTAATCCCACCCAAAGTCTGAGCCTTTATGTCATCCAGAAATCTGAGGTTTCCCTTATACATGGGCCGTCCATGATAAACCTGGCTGAGGATCCAAGGATACAAGTCCCTTTCTGCCTGGGAGAAAGAGGGCTCATTGGCCTTGTTTTCTTTTTAGTTAAATGATGAGTGGGTTTCGCTGCTAACTGTGAAGCTTCCCTCATCTTAAATTCTGTCTGTGTTTCATGTGTTTGTTAGTGCTATTTGTCTCAGATGAAATTACTTTGAAATTTTATGACAATGATAAGTGGGCTCTAGATTAGTCTGAGTCCAAACCCTGGCTCTACTACTTGTCTCAGTCAAGTTACTTCAACTCTCAATCTTGGCCTCTCATCTGATTAATAGGGTTAATAATGGTTAGTGCCTCATTGGGGACTTAGGAAGTTCAAATGGAATACTGCATATAAACTCTGAGCACAGTTCTTGGTATATAGTAAGTATTCTATACAGGCTAGCTGTAATTATTAATTTTTATTACTTGTTACTGCTGTTACTCCATAAACATTTTCTTATGTTTTGTAATGCCCCAGGTTAGTGTAAATTATAAGAATTGTTTAGATTTTTCTCTTGTTCATGTTCAAGAACCCACATTTTGAAGATTAATTTTTTTCATAATGCCTTTTTCAAACTCCTCTGGCTTCCTACCATTCAAATCATAAATATTTGTCAGACCAACTTGATTATTAATCAAATGATACCTAGAGAATGTACTTGGGATTTATTTTAATTGTGATGTAAAGAGCTTTTCATATTATACTCACTTATAAAATTCACATAAACTCAAAATGAAGTAAATTTGAATAAAATCTCCAGCATTTGCAGTTTTATGCACAACAATCTGAGTGAAGAAGAAAGAAGTTTGTCAGATGGTCAAGATTTTTCAAAAAGAAATCTGGTTTACACTGATTTTTTAAAAGTCAGGATATATAATCTATCCTTTTTTTCACTTGTTCTTATAAATTGAAAGGAACTTCAAAGCCAGACAACATTTTGAAGTGCTTTTGCCCTGGCTTTTTGGAATGGTATAACTAAAGAATGGTCTTTTGTTATGAGAGGCTTAGCATTTTTCTTTCAAAGGAAACCATCATTTTTCTAAATAAACTCTACAGGTTTGATGTTCTTTTCTCTACTTGAAACGCATTTTCTCCCTCCTACCCAGTCAGAGTATTTTCAGTGGAGTGATCTTGGTTTCTCTTTGTTCTCCCTATCTGATGTGCCTTTGATAGCGGATGATTTCTCGCTCTTTGGGAGCAAATCCATATGACATGAAGGACCCAATTAAAATTAGTATTCCACGCTATGTTCTCTGCGGACAAGGAAAGGATGAGCACTTCGAGTTTGAAGTCAAGGTAAGGGTGCCTTCTCTTCCTTTCTGGAGGAATAGATGTTTGATTTTATGCAATGCTTTCTCTTTCTTTCTTTCTTTTCTTTTTTTTTTGTCAAAAGAGATGAAACTACATTTGAATACCTTGTTATATAAGATATTAGTTACACCCTTCTTTAAATTCAGTATGTGAAACTAGACTGTACAATACAGAGGAAGTTATTCCATAAATGATTTTGGTGGTTGAATAGTTACACAGTTCCTACCACTTAACCCTATAACCCCATTGATTGACCAACCAACTATCCTGGTTTGTTTAATCATTATTTGAAGTCCTGGGGTGGTGCTGTAGGGTAGGCACTGGACTGCTAACCAGAAGGGTGGTGATTCAAACCCACCAGAAACTGCTTGGAAACCCTATTCAGGGTGGCTGTGATTTGGAACTAACTTGACAGCACTTAACAATAACATCAAAGGGTTTCCCAGGGCATAGAACTTCCAGTGCACAGCAGAACTGTTGGCCACTCTACCCCTTGCCTTAAACTCAATTGTCTTATCTGTGAAATGGGAATAAAAATATTTACATCTCAGGGGTATCAATGCATAGGAAGTGCTGAGTCCATTGGCTAGTATATAATAAACAATAAATGATTGCTGTTAAATTATTACTGGTAATGTTGTTATTGTTTCTATTATTATTAATTAGGAAGTTAGCCTAATCTGTTTGAAGCATTATTTGATTTATACAGTTTTACAGGAAGAGATGTGCTGATTTCCTTACATCATACTTTCCAAACTAATGACTTCATCTTTATTTCTAATTTATTTCCGTTGACTCATACACTTCATTAAATGCTGCTAGCTACCCTCCCCTTCTCAAGGAACTAGTTATCAGTCAGACCTCTTTGTGTTGAAGTAGAGGTGAGACCATTGATGTAATGAAGCCTACCAGCATCACCAATATATTAATGCACAAAGGTATTCTCGGCAGTGGTTTTATTTCAGGTCAACACCAGATTGGGAATATAGATGCTGAGTTTTATAGACTCTGGTTCTGTAGCAGTTTGGTGAGCGAGTCTAAGATTTTTAACTTCTCGGAGTCTCTGTTTCCTCATTGGCAAAATGAAGAGATTGAGTGACACCAGTGATTTCCAGATTTCTTCTTCCCTCATAAGTCAATTGTTCAGAGATTGTCTCACGTGGAAGGGAAGGAGCCTGAAACCTGTCTGCCTTCACCTCCCAAATTGCATGTGCCTCGGGTACCAGTTTGACTCTGGGTAATTTTTCTCTGCAGGCAATTCACCATTTTTCAGTCTTCTTGGAGAAATAGTACAATCAACTTCTTTTGTAATTAACCAGCTTTCTAGATTTTTAGCTCCATGTAGTTAAGTTTCTTTCTTTCTTTCTTTTTTTTATTAATCTGGTCATTAATTTGTATTTCAGGTTTGTGTTGAGAACATTGGACATTGATCCTTGGGTGCTTGGGTGCTTGGGTGTTGTATTTAATGTATTGGCCAGAATCTTTGGTTTCTTATTAAAACTATGTCTTTGGTCTAGTACTTTCCAATGGGCTAACCTAATAATTAACAACAACAAACCTATTACCTGGAGTCCTGGTGTGATGCCATAATGAATGTGATGGTTTATAAAATGAAAAGCCAAACCCATTGCCCTGAAGTCAATTCCAGCTCACATAGATGATACTTAACCGAGTAGAACTGTCCCATAGGTTTCCTAGGGTGCCATCTTTATAGGAATTATTGCTACTGCTTTCTCCCACAGAGCAGCTGGTGGATTTGAACCTCTGACCTTTTGATTACCCGCTGAGCACTTAACCATTGTGCCACCGGAGTTCCTTCTAAAGATATATACACGTATGAAAAAAATAATTTCTGAGGGTTTTTTTGTATTATTTTCTCATTGCTGAACTGGACAGTAAAAGATAGGCTTTCACCAGCTCTGAATTCTCCAACATGTGGAACTCTCTGCAATAGAAGGCATTCAGTGACTTTGGTTGGTATATGTGCATATTCTAATAGAATGTTCTAGTAAAATACAACTCTTAAATATAATTGATGATTACATACAATTATGATTACACAGATAGAAATTTCAGACATGGCTAAAGAAGATATTTGGACTGCTGGTGTGGCACTGTAGGATCAGCACTGGACTGTGTGAACCACAAGGTTGGATGTTCAAACCCACCAGCTGCCCCTCAGAAACCCACCAGGGATGCTGTGAGTTTGAACTTACTCAAAGACACTTAACAACAACAACAACAAAGATATTTAATTTATTTTTAGCTAAGTCAATTTACATAAAAATTGCAAGCAAATGATAGTGCAGATGATATAAAGATCTGGTAAAAATTGTTAACGACTGTGCTGTGTAAAGGTTAAGTTAGAAAAACCAAATACAGAAAACCATATGGTGCCTTTCGCGATCTAGGCTTTCACTTTAAAATACATAAAACCCAAATCCAAAGAGTTCTACTTTCTTTGAATTTATCAAAGCAAAGTTCTGAAAGGACGTCATTGTTTCGCTTCCTTTTGTATTCAATCACAAGTACTATAATCACTAGCACCAAAAATGGACTCTTAGTTTCCTAAAGGGGGAGAGTTCCTCTTTCTCCACTTAGGAAGGACCTACTGATGCATTCACATATAAGTGTGCCTCTGTACTCAAGGGGATATCCAATCACAGAAGTATCAGGGCCTGCAACTAGAAACACAACCTGACAAAAAACTTAAAAATGTCCTCACTTCAGTCAAAGGAGCTATTAGAATGTACTGAGTACACTGATGTCCTGGCTGGTCCCCTCCAGGTAACCTCACCCAGTCACACCACCTTGCTGTGCCCCTTGGATAAAATGGGGTTAATAAAACCCACCTACTGGGTTACCCAAAAGCTGTGCACATTTGTGTATGTGAAACACTTGGAATAGTGCCTGCCACACTAAATGCTGGATACATGTTTCGTTTTGTGTGTGTGCGACATTTTTATTGTGAATTGAATAAAGGCTTAAAAAACAGATCATCAGTTTTACATTCAACAAATCATACACCTTATTTCATCCCAATGATTGCGATCCCCTCCATATAACACAGTTATCCCACTTCCTCCTTGTGGTTCCTATTTCCATTCCACCCTTCTTCCCAATCCTTCTGAATTGTGTCCTCTTGAGTGGTTAGCCATTCCATGGTTAGCATGCCTAGTGTTGTTGTCTCCCCTTCTATATACCTATCTTCTGCTTCGTTTAAAATTGGGCCACAAGGGTGAGTTCCATTCCAGACCTGAAGAGTGGTCAAGGCCAATGGTCTTGGGTTCCTCCGTTCTCTTTATGACCATTAAGCCTAGACTTTATTTAAAAATTTTGAGGTTTGTATGACATTTTCTCTCACTGTATCTGGGACCTTCTAATGTGATCCCTCTCACAGCAGTTGGTAATGGTTGTCAGGCACTGGATCCATGTTTCTTATTAACAATAATTAAAAATTAAAGGTTTAAAAAATGAAGGAGACTTTACTTTGGAATCTCCTTAATGACATTTAACATACAGTTTTATCTTTTTGTGGGTCTTGTGGGATTTTGGTTATTTGTTCTTTCTCAAATTCTTAATTTGAAAATTAGATATTCCAATTTCCTCCATCCATCCTTTGCAAATTTCAAGTATTGGCAACGTTTCCTAGAAGAAATAGCTACAGTTAGGGAATTTTATTTGTCTATTGCTAAATTCTTCTGTTGGTGTGCAAGTAAACTTAAAAATCTTAAAGCAAAAATTATTATTTTGAAAGGAAACTATTTTCTGGTTAGTTGTAGGCCATTTTTGAAGGAATAATATTAAGGTACACAGGTATTTTATACTATTGAACCTTACGTTTTAGAAAAATTATTGCTGCTTTAAAAAAAGTAATTGTATTTTTGTTTTTCATCCTTCTCATAATGGTCTTTTTTTTTTTTTTTTCCAAGCCAAACTGTATCCAGCTTTATTAAAGATACTTTTCATAAACAATGGGATTCAGGCAGGACATGTTAACAGTACACAACAACTTTCAAACTCCCTTCTTCGATGGACTACCGAAATCAGAAAGCCACTACTAAACCCAATGAAGTCTTCATCTGATGGTCTGAACAGGGAAAGTTTGGAGTGAGGGTTGACATTTCACATTTAGCATGTTGTTTAACAACTTTTCACAAGCCAACCCTGACTTTCAGAAAATGAAATGAAAAAGGCAGAATGACCAATCTGAAGACCCACAATCTCAACAAAGGAACCGCTGCTCTTTTGAGGGGTGCTCTGAGATGACACCACTGGAAAGTGCAGGTTCCCTGACACATGAATATCCAGTTCTCTGAGGTCAGGTCCCAACAGGTCTCTGGGTTTATGGGAGTCAAGTTAATGCTGAAGGCAGAGAGGGCAAAGAGGCTATGAAGCTGTAAAAACAAATTGTGCTTTTCCCACACCACACAGCATTTGTGTGCCAAGGTGGCTAATGTATGTTAATGTCAGGGAATCCCTCCTCCTGGGAACCAAGAGGGAGTCTTTCAAAACTAGATGGGAAAGGTGTTTGCTTCCACATCAGTCCAGCTTTGGAGACACTGTATTAGTGACATTTGCCCCTTTCCGCAAAAACAATGAAGTGTTTTGTGTGCTAACAACATTGCTTAAAAAAAAAGTAAAACAAAATTCTACATTTTTATAAAACTTGATAAAAAATAGTATTTCAAACTGTACAGTCACCAGAAGTCCACAGTTATCAAAAATGCACACACTTCACTTGGCATCGCCAGCACCTTCAGCCTTCTGTGCCTGGTCTGTTTTGGCATCTTCATTTTCTGCAGGGTTATTTCCATCCTTGCCAGCATCAGTTTCCCCCTTTTTCCCTTTGGGTACCTTCTCTCCCTTCTTTGCAGGGGCCTTTTTAGGCTTAGGTTCTGGCTTTGGAGGAGCAGGTTTAGTAAATAACCTTCTGGATCTCCTCTGAGGTTCATCCTTCACCTTGGCTTTATCTCCCTTAGCAT